ACCCGGGTCTCCAGTGTCACACAACTGGGAAATTGCCGGCTGAGCTAAAGGAGAATTCCCTTAACCCGGGCGGCTGAGACCCCTGTTATACGCAGGGGCAAATTTGTTACACACACTTGTGGTAGAGTGAACTGTATGAAGCCAGGTGAGGATACAGATTTGAAAAAAATGTAGATGCGTGTTTGAATGGGGCCATTAGCTTAGGACTCTGCACCAGAAAATAGGCACCAGATACACACCTTCGTACAAAGAATCCCTGAAATCTCTGTTTGTGTAAACTGTATTTCTCTTTTGTTCATGGGTAATTGAGGCTGAAGTTGAAAAACAAAGGCTCACCTAAGATCTGACAATGGTCTGCTTGTACACACAAAAAACAAACACAGAACAAAGGGTCAGGCTGAGGAAAACACCTTCAATTAAATGAAATGTCTGCCTTCTATTCACTCAAAAGTGTTTCATGAATGTAAGGGTGTTGTCCAAAGAAGCTGGATACATTGACATCAGTTTTTGCATCAACATTTAATGCAGCTTTTCATACCATAAGGCTTGAGCCTTCTGTTTTCGTACAGCTCTTTCTCGGTACAGACATAAAAACATGAAAATAGTGTTTTCACAGCCAATTGTACGCCATTTTCATTAGTGATGGGCAGGACTGATACATTTGTCAAAATCAGTCCTTTGGGAAATAACGGGTTATGTTAGTTATGGGCTATAGCACAATAAAACTACAATTCCATTATGTAAACTGTTTCTGCTGCAGCCACTGTCAGTGCAAATTTGTTGGTAATTCGGACTACATTCACTTCAGAGAAGTGCTCTTTATGTGTTGTATTGGAGAAGACTGTGCATCACAGCTCCCTACAAGTACTTAGTAAGGATCATTAGAAAATCAAAAGAGTTTAGGAGTTCTTTTAGTACTTTATTCCAGTTTGTCAAGTTAGTGTAAAACTAAGCAGCATAATATAATAACTTAACATTACTTTATTAACTCTTTACAATTTCCTGCATTAGGAATTATCTTTTTGCATACCCCAGCTTACTCTCCATGAGACACACAGACAGGGAGAGAAGCTTGGGGTCAGAGCACAGGGTCTGCCATTGTACAGCACCCCTGGAGCAGTTAGGGTTAAGGGCCTTGCTCAGGGGCCCAACAGAGTAGGATTCCTCTGCCAGCTGCAGGATTTGAACCAGCAACCTTCCAGCCACAGGCACAGATCCTGAGCCACAGAGCCACCACTCAGATATTGTGGCTCAGATATTTCTTATTCTAGTGCTACAGTCTTCTGGAACAGGATATTCATTTTGGCTTACCTGGTACTACTTCATATTTGTGAATATGAAGAATGTATTTATTTTCCAATTTTCAGATCTCCATTTAAGGTCCGACAGTTTTTTGTCTGATTCAGTGCTGTCTGCATGCACTTCTCTGCATAGGGGGCTATATTTAGGGTAATCCTGAATATGTTTCTCCAATGTAAACATACACAGACAGGATGTACGGTACAATAAGTTAGATCAAATTAAATTTACTTTAAGCCTTAAAGTACAAAATGACAACACACACCCACTCTTGAAATGTCCTGTAGTCTTGAATTTCTCAAACTGATTTTTCTGTTTAACAGATATTTCTTATTCTAGTGCTACAGTCTTCTGAAACAGGATATTCATTTTGGCTTACCTGGTACTACTTCATATTTGTGAATATTAAGAATGTATTTATTTTCCCATTTTCAGATCTCCATTTAAGGTCCGACAGTTTTTTGTCTGATTCAGTGCTGTCTGCATGCACTTCTCTGCGTAGGGGGCTATATTTAGGGTAATCCTGAATATGTTTCTCCAATGTAAAGCACTAGTGACCCTGAAGCATTCCCAAATTAATAGAATCACAGCCTGGGACCTGAACTGCACACCATGACTCAATTCTTCATGAAAAAAAGCACAATATAATAAATAAACCACCAAACTAGATGTATTTCAATTTGTTCTGTTTTACATTCATTTACAAGTTCTCGTGTTATTCAATGAGTCAAGTAAGAGAAGACAGACTGTTCAAAATTGATTGATTACTGTAATGTTCTCATTACATTCTCATTCTAGTGGAAAGAAATACTGTACACCAAGAGTCGAAAATGTAGAAAAGCATTATAGACTAAAACAGAATGTTTTGGTTGCCTTTAGATTTGTTTCTTGCTGCATACTGTTTTCCTTCAACGGTTATTATATTGTTAATATTTTTTTATAATTTAATAATTAAGAAATAACAATAACATTCGTTGAGGTAATACATCGGAAACCCTACAGTATTTCATTAGCTGATACTTAGCGCCCTCTTGCGGCCACTAAAATAATACAGTTTGGTAAAGTCCTAGTTAGAACTTTCAATACAGGATCATAATAAATCCATTATCAGTCCACCGTGTATTACCTGGTACTACTATCTAGCAGTAGATCTAACAGTGGTTCTCAAAAGTGGTCCTTAGGTGCCACTGTGTTAGGTGCCGGTCTTTGTTTCAGCTCGACCCTTGGTTGCCAGTGCTAATTGATGTAATTGTGATGTAAATCATCTATTATCTTGATTCAACATTGTTCTGCACTCTTCAATATTCTGTTTAAAATACTTCATTTCAACATTTTCACTGTACAGACCTTTATGCAGTTTCTCGTCAGCTTGCTAATTACAAATGTGCTCCCTTATTTCTGGAAGAGTTCTAAAAACTCTCAATAAGCCATCATTTTCTGATTCGCATGAGAGGGAGTGATGATAAAACAAATTCATTGACAAGGAGGAAACAAGTGGGAAACACACCGAAAGTAGGTCCAAACTGTTAGGCTTCTCAAGGATCCTGCCTGCACCACACATACACTAATGCATAAACATAACATGAGGCTGAGAACATGGTGTTTTGAGGAAGGTTTCAGCTTGTATGATAAAAGTGATCTGTCCAGACATCCATCCATCCATTTTCTAACAACTTTATCCTATACAGGGTTACTGGCTGCCAAAGCTTTTCATGTCAGGCAATGGGGGTATGGCAGGATAAACCTTGGGTGGGATGTCAGTCCGTTGCAGGGCAGACACAAAGATACAAACAAGCACACGCTCACACCAGGACCAATTGTTTTTTTTCCAGAAACTACCAGTTTGTCTTTGGACTGTGGACAAAAACCAAAGCACCCAGAGAAACCTCATGTGAGCAAGGGGAAAACATACAAACTTCACATAGATAGCACCCCATGTCTGGGATTGTACCCAGGCCCCCAGCACTATAAGGCAGCAATGCAGAGCACTGAGCAGCTTGTCTAAATCTAAATAAGATGGGAACAAATTGGCTTGGCCCTGGTATTCCAGATTAAATCTGTAAATCACGATGTAAAGTCCCCCCCCATAAAAGAATGCAAATGAAAAACCCAACATTTCGGCTGTGGAGCCTTCTCCGGGTGTAAGAAAGATAGGGCAGTCAGCAAAAATGCAAGAGACAGAAGCTGCTGTATTCGCATGTGATTATCCAGGTAACTGGAATCACAGAAACACAGCTGAAGAAGAGCGGCGATGAAGAATTCAACATTAGCAGACGCACAGGGTTGCAGGGAGAATCGGCACTATACTGTACATCAGACTGTTCTTGCACGTACAGTATAAGAGCTGAAGCTAAGTTAATTGAGAGTCTCAGAATGTAATGCATCACTCGTTACACATTATTTTGGCATTTCCTTGGATACTGTATATGGATTCCAAAATATGTCAAAAGCACCTTACTTTTAGAAGGGTCCCCACTTTATTACCACAGAAATGCTGTACCCCCCAGGTGCATCATGCTATTGCGAGCCAGAAACCCCACTGCACAGCTTGATTGGGAAGAACTGTAGAAGGAAACGGTGCCACTGCTGCTAACGTACTAAGCCCTTCCAGTATCTGTTTCTTGTTCAAATATTGTACTTTCTATGTCAAAACCTTCCGTATGTCCACCCAATCTACTCACACATTTTAAATCACTTTAATATACCATACTCTTTTTTTCATTATATCAGAAAAATGTATATTTTATTTGCAAGTTTTTGCTACTCCACAAAACCCCATTAAACATTAAACTAAGGCTGCGAGCCCAATTATTGACTTAGAGGGTTGACTGCAATTTGTTTCATTTTACCAACAAATCAGCACTGGTCAATGCACCCAGAATTGTCAAACAAAGAAATGTTAAGTAAATAGTTTCAGAAAGGGAACGACATGTTTACAATGTAAATTAAATAAACTTTTGTCTTAAGTAGGCCATGTACCATATTGTTATGGTAAATATTGTTAAAAATGCATAAACACTTACATGGAATTTTCCAAATAATTAATACATACTTTGAAGTAAGCTAACGAATACACAGTGAAACTAATATTACTATAACATGTAAAATGTAACATTGTATTAATGTAGTTTGTTTCAAAGGTTGGAGGGACTTGCAACAAATTAAGAATTTTCTAAATACTGTCAGGCATTCTGAAATACAACTGTTTCTTTAAACATGGGGTCTCAGCCCAGGAGGATTTATATATGATTATCAAATCATCAATTTCTACAGACAAAAAAGATTGTGATCAGTTACGCACGAAATTTGTGGGAAGAAATATGAATATCCCTCAACTCTAGGGGATCATGGGATCAATTCAAAGTTTGCATTTCAGCGTTCATGAGATAGTCCTGTGCATTTTAGAAATGGACCACAGCTCCATAATTTTATAGTATGCCATGTTATCGAATGTGCATTGCAAAGCACTAGTCGACAACCTTTTCTTTTGGGGGTTTAAGGTGCATTGTGTAGAAGCTTATATCCGTCGAAAGGCTTTAGGTGGTACTGTGTTAAAATTACAACACCTAAAACAAACGTCTGTTAGACAAGACATCTTCTCCCACATCTAAAAATCTAAAGAAAAGTCTTACTTATTGGCCCAGAATGCCGTGATTGACAGGTCGACATCGTGAATTGAACGGGCTGACTTCCGTTGCGAATGCGCAAGCTCCGCAGTAGATTGGTCTGACTGAAGTTAGTGTGCTAGTGTTGTGGAGGCTGCTGGAGAAATACACAGGTAGGTGGGCGGGTGACAGCAGAAAC